CTGGTACCGTTAAGTACCGGTACTGATTCCCAGGTACTGGATATTGGTACTGAATCTATTCAAATGTCAAATGTACCATCCCTATTTAGAGTTTTCTGTGATGTTAAAAATGATTCAGTGACTGATTGTTTTTAATTAATGCCTCCTCTAACCTCACATATATAAATACAAACAACTGGAGTTTAAAATGCATGAATTAATAAAACTGGTGTAATTTTACTTTGGTTTTAGCAGGATCATCAGCAGGTGTAGATTACCACTTCACAATATTAAATAATTCTATTTCTCATAAAATAAGTTTAAATAATGACTGCAGAACATGACAATTATTTTATATCTGGTTACTCGATTAATCGTCAGAATAATCTATAGATTAATGGATTACTAAAATAACCGTTAGCTGCAGTCATAATTGGCTCTGTCTCTGTGTCACGTGTGATTTGATTGGCAGGAGTTGGCTTTTGATCCTTATGAGACATACACTCAGGACATCCTGCGATCCGGCTCCCACGAGCACTTCCTGAGTCAGGTGACTAAGCCAGGTGCTTCTGTACACCTCCTGGTAAGCTCCGCCCCTGCAGTCAGGGATTTATTAGTCAGTTTCCTGTGATGATGATGATGATGATGATGATGATGATGATGTTTTTGTCTTGTCAGTCCATCTGTGTAGGGTTCAAAGAAGCTGTTCAGTACATTTTGCCCAGACTGCTGCTCACTCCTGTTTACCATTGTTTGCACCTGTTTGAGGTGCTGAAGGTGAGCCATGTCACCTGCACTAACCCCGTGTCTCACCTTCCTCACACTGCACCCACACCTGTCTCTTACCTGTCACTAACGTCTTACCCATTTTTCACATCTGTCGCACACCTGTACCACCATAGACACATTCACAGACCAGTCCGTCTTTGAGCTCTTTCTGCTCGTTACAAATCACAGGTGGAGCGGGTCACTTCCTGTTCAGGTGTAGGTGGTCTAATGGTGGACTGGTCTTATCATGGACTGGTCTAATGGTGGACTGGTCTAATGTTGGACTGGTCTTATGGTGGACTGGTCTAATGGTGGACTGGTCTAATGGTGGACTGGTCTAATGGTGGACTGGTCTAATGTTGGACTGGTCTTATGGTGGACTGGTCTAATGGTGGACTGGTCTAATGGTGGACTGGTCTAATGTTGGACTGGTCTAATGTTGTTCTGGTCTAATGTTGGACTGGTCTAATGTTGGACTGGTCTAATGGTGGACTGGTCTAATGGTGGACTGGTCTAATGGTGAACTGGTCTAATGTTGGTCTGGTCTAATGGTGGACTGGTCTAATGTCCAATCTTCTGTTTCACACCTGTCCCTCTGCTGTCCACCACCCAGATACATTACAGATATTCAAATCTCACTCTGGACCACATCCAGAACTGTGGTCCAGATCCAGATCTGTGGACTGGACCAGATCCAGAGCTGTGGACACATCACTGCCTTCAGATTAGATAGTTGTTGGTAATTAATTGATTAATTAATTAATTGTTAATTATGAGCCAGTGATCCTGATGTCAGCACTTCTGTAGATGGCTGCTGCTATTTCCCAAAATAAGAGAGCAAGCAGCAACTTAAAACCAGCCTGATGGTCCACATCAGACCAGCTTCTAGTGGACCAGTCCTATACAGGACCAGTTCTGGACTGATCCACAGCAGAGCAGTACCCTACAGGACCAGTTCTGGACTGATCCACAGCAGAGCAGTACCCTACAGGACCAGTTCTGGACTGATCCACAGCAGAGCAGTAACCAGTTCTGGTCYTGGACTTTGTCCTGTGTAAATGTAAGCTGGTTTAGGAACCAAAGGCTGTCAGAGCTTGGTCCTGAGAGTCAGGCACCTCAGGTTCTAGATCTGGATCAGTCTTTTCAGTTTGCTTGTCATGAGAATATTACATTTCATTACAAACCAGTACAGGTGATCTTAAGCCCCTCCCATTTGTGTTTCCATAGCAACTGGAGGAGAAGAGTGAAGACGAGGAGGATAAAGAATGTCTGAAACAGGCCATCACAGCTCTTCTCAACCTGCAGTCCAGCATGGAGAGGATCTGCTCCAAGAACCTGGCCAAGAGGAGGCTCAGGTAGGCTCACACCTGAGAACACCTGAGACACCAACAGGTCCTGAGAACACCTGAGACACCAACAGGTCCTGAGAACACCTGAGACACCAACAGGTCCTGTCCACACATGCTAGTGCTCACATCTGTCAACATGTCAGATATTTGTGAACAAACATCCATAATAAATCTCCGCCACAGAAAACGGTGAATAGTTTGGGGTAAAACTGAAACCTGTACAGGTTCCAGGTTCTTTGGACTGAGCTGGACCCTGTACGGATCAGAACCAGTGGCTTAACAAAGGCAGCCACAAAGARCTGCAGTCAGAACCCCTCAGCGGGACTCCTCCCATCCTCTGTTTCCCTTTGGACCGAAATAAACTGGGATTGGGGGGGGATCAGGGTCACAGGTGGGGGCAGGGTGGTCCTGATGTTAACAGGAAGTAGCATCAGTTTGAGGGTGGAGTTTCAAGCCTGCCCATTGTTCTTTGTTAGAGAAAAGTTCTCAGTRACAAAAGCTGCTGCTGTTTGAAAAGTTTTAGCTCTTAGATTTTAACGGAGACAGGAGGACAGACAGTGGACAGGTGGACATGAGGACGTAGGTGATTTAATGTTCTTTCTTTCTTTGTATTTATTTTACTAAGAGGTAGTGAATAGGTGTGTGTGGGGGGCTTTATATGAATGTTAATAGGATTTATGTGCAGTCACAGTAAAATGAAAACATCTATTATTTCCTGCTTTAATGTTTCAGAATAAATTCAGTTTCATATATAAACCTTTATTCTAACAGGACCTAGTCAAGAAGCAGCAATACAACACAATGTCAGATCAGTGATAAAACCAAGATGCGACACAAGTTGTATAGAGTATAATTAAACCTAATATAACACCTAAAACAAGGGGGAAAGGGGCACAGTGATTTCTGAATATATAGAAATTTTAAAACAGAGGAGTGAAATGAATGAGTTCAGCTTTAAGGACCRTTGCAGATGGATCCAGTCATCTGCAGCAGAGAACTGAAACGTGGAGCAACCAAAGGAGGTACATGAATGATGAACCCACTAGCACGTAGACTATGGTTTGTTTGGTCTGTGAGCAGTGAGAAGTGCCTGTGGTAACCTGGTGTTTCTCCACTGAGGATTCTGTAAATGAACATCAGTTTTTCTGCTCTGAACCCAGAGCAGAAAAACACCAACACTTGTGTATTTAATTTTTTTTAATTCATCACAAGTCATATCGTCATCGCAATATTAAGCACCGTTATCGTACATCGCAGGTTTTCTTGATATATCGTGCAGCCCTAATTGAAAGTAATGTCGTTTTAACCAGGCTGAGTGAGTGAAGGAAGATTTGTTGCTGTAAAGAAAACCCAATGCAGGATATTATCTTTGACTGCAGGCCATTTATGTGGGTTTCAAATGTGAGGTTGTAGTCAAGCCAGATGCCAAGATACTTGGTTTTTGACAAAATCCATCTCAGTTTCGTTCAAAGAAGAGATTTTAAATGGACTCTGGATTTGTGGTAGGTTTTTGTTAAAAAACACATTTAGTTTTGTCTGTGTTCAGAACCAATGCAGACTAGAGAAAGCTTGTTGGAGTGAAGTGAAACTAGTCTGTAGTCACGGAGGGACTGGAAGTATAGACGATAGTATCATCTGCATAAAAAGGAATGTTATTGATATAAATATTGAAGAGTCTGTCCTAGTGAAGGACATTTTGTGACCGATTAACTGAATTTAAGATCCAGACTTATATTTTACTCTTTGTGCAGCCATATGGTTTAATTTATTTATTTTATTTACTGTTATTTAACCAGGCAAGTTCTGTTGAAATCGCAAATCTCTTTTTCAAGGGAGGCCTGGGCCAAAAGGCAACTGATTGTACATGATTTTGTGGGTGAGGGAAACCGGGGTACCCAGAGAAAACCCACGAGGAGAACATGAAAWCTCCGCACAGAAACACTTTAAACAGAGAAACAGAGTCAGTGTGTCTAATCAATATGAGGCCTTTTTTGTAATATAAACAAAGCTGGTTACATCTTAATGTCTGAYGTAAAAGGAAGCCGAGACCTCACTTTCCCCAGMCACCTCCAAGACACTCCTAGGCCAGCCAAGACATAGTCTCTCTATCGTGTCTCTGGTCTTCTTCGAGGTCTCCTCTCAGTTGGACATGCCAGAAGCACCTCCCTAGGGAGSTGTCCAGKRGGAATCCTTACCAGATCCCCRAGCCACCTCATCTGGCACCTCTTCATGTAGATGAACAGTGGTTCTTTTCTGTCTCCCCCAGATAACTGAACTTCTTACCCTGTCTCTAAAGTAGTGTCCAACTACCTTGCCAAGAAAACTCATTTTGACCACTTGTATCCATGATCTTGTTCTTTCAGTCATTACCCAAAGTTTGTGGCCATAGGTGAGGGTAGGAATATAGACCCGACAGWGAGTTTTGACTTACAGCTCAGCTCCCTCTACACACTGACAGACCGGTACGGAGTGTGCAATACTGCAGAAGCAGCACCAATCCATTTGTCAATCTCACACTCCATTTTTCTCTCGCTCGTGAACAAAACCCCAAAATACTTGAACTCCTTCACTTGAGGCAGAACCTCACCCTAAACCTGGAGAGAGCAATCCACCCTTTTCTGACTGAGGACCATGGACTCAGATTTGGAGGTGCTTATTCTCATCCCAGCTGTGAACCACTCCAGTGGGAGCCTAAGATCACGGTACAATGACACCAACAGAACCATATCATCTGCAAACAGCAGAGATGAACTCCCTCTGCCCCCCTGGGTGCACTGAGAAATTCTGTCCATGTAAGTTATGAACAGAATCAGTGACAATGGGCAGCCCTGGTGGAGTCCAASTCCYACTCTGAAGGGGTCCRACTTACTACCAGCAATGAACCAAACTCTCAYTGCTTGTATAGAGACTGAATGGACCATAGCAAACGGACCCACAATCCCATACTCATGTAGCACCCCCCACAGTGTACCTTGAGGAACATGGTTGAATGTCTTCTCCAAGTCTACAAAACACGTAGACTGGATTAGCAAACTCACATAACCCCTCGAGGACCCTAGTGAGGGTAAAGAGTTGGTCCAGTGTTCCACGGCCTGAATCTGAGGTTCGACCATTGATTGGACTCTCTTCTTCAGTACCCCTGAAAAGATCTTACCAGGGAGGCTAAGGAGAATGATGCACCTGTAATTGGAGCACACCCTCCTTTCCCTCTTTTTGAAGATGGTCACTGCTCCTGACTGTAACAAAAATACTTCTCACAAAGTAACAACTTACTCAAACTGAAGAGTATGTCTTACCGTAAACGTCAACACATCCTACATCTTGTGATCAGAGGGATCAGTCTACAATCAGATTAATTGATTTCTGATCAGTGGGATCATTCTATGATTAGACTGATTGATCTCTAATCGGGGAGAATCCTGAAGGAAATGGTTCTCTGATCTCATTATGTTGGGAAATGTTGCAGACTCTCAGGTTATCAGCTCAAGGTGTTGTGATAGGCCCAACCACACCACTACATGAGATTAGAAAGGTCTCAGATTCTACTCTTAGCTGGGTTCTATCTTCCTGGAGTCTTTAGGTTCTTTTAGGTTTATCAGATTATTGTGGTGGAGGGGAGCAAAGTGCTGCATTCTTCAAGGGTTTAAACCCTAAACGGATTAACGAGCTGATCAACAGCAACAACAAACACTTTCAGATTGAAGGTTCACCTCACCACTGTGCTTTCAGACGATCTCCTCCTGATGATGTCGCTGTCTGTATTGTGGTCATCCACTCTTTTTTTTCTAGATGTGCAGCTGTCAACTCTGGTAGATTTCAACTGAGCCAATCAGTGAACAGAAGGAGGAGTTGTGGACAATGACTTTGATTTTCTGTTGTTTTAGTCTGCCTGTAGTTTAACAATGGCAGCGGAGGAAGTGAATACCATTCAGTCCGTGTTGACAAGGCTTCCAAATAAAATAAAATTTGTCTCATTTACAGTCATCTTGTTTGRCTTGGTACTTCTTTCTTCCCAGTAGGGGATGGTTGTTTACAGCGCAAGCAATTTCCCGTTAGCTTCTTAGCTTAGCTTCCTTCACGGTTGAACTGTCGCACTGCATACAGTACGTCATGGCCAAAAATTAGCCATTGGGTAAAATCAGATCCAATTGTTTTAAACTTCAACAAAGTCCACGACTCCAGAAAGAAATAGTTTCTCAGTAACTGAAAGTCCAGACCCTCTGTATGAAGCAAAGAGTAGAACAAGGGGATGGTTTTTACCGGGCTAGATTTTGTAGCACAGCCTCTTACAATTCTTTTAATCTTTCCATTCAAAATAAAAAAAATTCCATTACTCTGGAAGTCAGCTTTTGTTAAAGTAGGTGACCCAGCAGCCTTAACTAACTACAGGCCAATATCAAATTTGTTTGTCTTGACATAGATTCTTTAATCTCTTGTTTATGGTCAACTAAAAGAGTTTTTATACTCAAATGATGTACTTTCAAAACTGCAATCAGGCTTGAGAAAAAAGCACAGCACCATCACAGCAGCCACAAAAGTGATTAAGGATGGATGGATGGATGGATGGATGGATGGATGGAGTTGCTCTTGATTAAAACCAGTACTATGCATCTCTTTGTATAGATCTGTCGAAAGCTTTTGACACTGGACCATGCTGTCTTAAAGCACTGGCGTCTTTGTTTGAGGATGTGAGATCATGGAGTTTCCTGGTTCACAAATCATTTAGGTGAAAAGATTCAGTGTATTAAATKTGATGCTCTGTGTTCTGAATTTATGAGTRTCCACAAGGGGGTGCCAYAGGGTTCAGTATTGGGTCCCCTCCTGTTCATTTTGTATATTAATGAATTAGGACAAAATATGTCAGTTGCTAACATACATTTTTATGCTGATGACACAATTATTTACTGTTTTGGATTATCTGCTGCTAAATTTGTTGAATCTCTACAGAAAGCTTTTAATGTGGTCCAACACATACTTCTGCAGCAAGATTTGGTACTCTGCTGACAAGACTRAACTAATGATGTTTGCAGACTCCACAAAGCTGCCTCAGACGATCCCCACTGTGTCCACTCTTGAAGGAAATATAACAGAGCTGTTTGACACGGATAAATACCTTGGTGTCATGCTTGATGATTCCCTCACCTTTAATGTTGATAATCTTGTGAATAAACTCAAATTAAACTTTTTATTTTGAAACAAATTAAATTTTTATTTAATGTGAAATGTGGCTTGTCACAGCAACATTTTTATCCATTTTAGATTACAGACCTGTTGTATATGAACTCCTCAGCTCAATATCTTCAGAATATTGATATTGTTTCTCATGTTTCCCTGAGGTTTGTTGCTAACTGTAAAGCCTCGACTCATCATAGTGAACTGTACAGTCAAGTGGGATGGCSTTTGTCCACCAGGAGGTTTGGAACACTTGGGTTAATAAGGCCATTGTTGGGCTCCTACATATGTGATTTAATCACATGGAGAAGTGTTGATTCTTAACCTTTGCATTCAGATGACTTTTTCTTGCTCTCTGTTCCRTTTCTYCACACAGAATTTGAACAAAAGGCTTTTGTTTACTTGGCTCCAACTACATGGAACATGTTGCAAAAAGCCTGGAAATTAACTGAGCTATTTTCCTCGGGCACTTTTAAATTCAGTCTTAGAGCACTAGCTATATGACTTCTTAAATAATTATTTTTATGGCATTTTATTTGTGTAAGTAATTGTAATTGTTGTGTAACTTTTGCTGCCTCTTGACCAGGAGTTTTTTAATTTCAATGGGACCTTCCTGGTTAAATAAATAAATTAAAAAAATACATTTTCTGTTGCAGTCCCTAAACTGTGGAATGAGCTGCCTTTTCACACCAGACAGGCCGACTCACTTCCTGTTTTCAAAGCTGCTCTTAAAACACATTTTTTCTCTTTGGCTTTCAAATCAGTTGGAGATGTTTGTCTTAAAGTTCCTATAGATTATTATTGTTATTATTATTCATGATAATTGGCTCATTTTACTTAGTTTATTGGTTTTATGCTTGTGTTTATTTGTTTTTATGAGTGTACAGCCCTTTGACCAACAATATAGTTTTTAAAGTGCTTTATAAGTTAAGTTGTATTTTTCTTGGTGAAACTGATAAAGAAGAAATACTGAGTATTGTAAAAAAATCTTGCAGATAAAAGACTGGGTGGATACGGATGTGATGTTTTTAAAGGATATAATGAGTTTTGCAATTAAGCCATATATATATACTATATATATATATACTGTATATATACTATATATATATATACTGTATATATATATATATATATATATATATACTGTGTATATATATATATATATATACTGTGTATATATATATATATATATACTGTGTATATATAACTCAGACGTCTTCACATTTTCCCAACTCTTCCTCAGCAGCTGTACTGATGGAAGATGAGGAGCTCAGACTTTGATGAAGTTGTTGTTCTTTTATTGTGAAAGGGTTGGGTTGTATTTGGGCCCCTGACTAACGGTCTACTCCTCACGTTTTGTCGTTGACCTGCAGCGAGTCGGCGTGTCGTTTCTACAGTCACCAGATGAAGGGGAAGCACCTCGTCATCAGGAAGATGAACGAGATCCAGAAGAACATCGATGGCTGGGAGGGGAAGGACATTGGCCAGTGCTGCAATGAGTTCATCATGGAGGGCACGTTGACTCGTGTCGGAGCCAAACATGAGCGCCACATCTTCCTGTTCGACGGCCTTATGATCTGTTGCAAGTCCAACCACGGCCCGCCACGGCTGCCTGGTGCCAGCTCTACGGCAGAGTACCGGCTTAAAGAAAAGTTCTTCATGCGCAAAGTCCAGATCAACGACAAAGACGACAAGGAGGGTGAATACCGGCATGCCTTTGAGATCGTCCTAAAGGATGGGAACAGCGTGGTCTTCTCAGCAAAGTCTGCAGAGGAAAAGAACAGCTGGATGGCTGCGCTKATCTCCCTGCAGTACCGCAGCACACTGGAGCGTATTCTGGACCAGGCGCTGCTGCAGGAGAAAGACAGGCAGATGAAGCTACCGCCGGCCGAGGAGTACCGCTTCACCGAACCCGACTCTGAGGAGAATGTTGTGTTTGAGGAGAATGTCCAGTCCAAGTCTGGAATCCCCATCATTAAAGCAGGAACGGTCCTGAAACTGATCGAGAGACTCACCTTCCACATGTACGCAGGTGAGCCATGATTTCACACAGGTGAGCCTGTTTCTGAGCACAAACGGTGTACTTTCTGTCTGGATCCCACTCATTAAACTAACCGTTGCAGCYATGTGAGTTATTTTAGGAAGAAAAAACCTCTGTAAGCCAGATGCAGGTTTCTAGTTGAGCAGTATTCACCTCCTGGTCAGCACAGTTGTGAGTACTATCAGGTTTTTTTTAGCAGGAACAAGGATAGATTGATGATAGAGTCCAAAAGTTTAGAAAGAAATCATTTAATATTCACACTAAATGTTCATTGATGTATGAACACATTATTTTAGTTTTTATGGAAAGAATACTAATACAAGCAGAAGACTAGTAATT